TGTGTGTGTGTGTGTGTGTGTGTGTGTGTGTGTGTGTGTGGAGGTGAAGGGAAGTGGCTGCTTATTATGTTTAGGAAGTACTTCACTGTGAGTACACAAACATACTTATTCCTATAGTCCCCTTCAGGAACTGAACAGAAACTAACAGTTGGTAGTTTCTGAATATGAGCCGTGGAGTAGTAATGGATGTCTTATTTTTAAACATTCAACACAAGCTTTAGACGAATATGTCGTCTTATCACTGACATTTATGACTGTTTTCTAAGACGGCCACTGTGACTTTTGTTGTTTGTTGTATGTTTGTCTACGTGATGTCAATTTGTGAATAAGGCCAGTCATTTGGTGTTAATTGTTGTATTGTCGCTTACTTTTATTTAAGAACAGAAAATGCAAATAAGCTATATTGCGAACTCTTGCATGTCAATATGTTGTTGTCCTTGTTAAATAAAATAATTAATTAAATAAACTCCATTTGATGACCCTGGATATCTCTTGAAAAAGAAGAGTGAAATCCCAGAGGTGGCTGTAGATCTCAGTCTCACAGCTGCCACAGCTGGAACATCTGTCACAGCTGGAACATCTGTCACAGTAAAACACAGAGGCCAATGTTCACAGTGTCCTGGCCTTAAACGTGTTCTGTACATGTATATATCCTGACTTTCAGAATCTTACACCATACTCAGGTAATTCAATAACATCTCTGACAAGTTGAGGATTAATAGATGGAGTAGCCCATACAATTTTACACTGAAGACGGCATCCCTCATCTATTATCATGCAGAACAGCCAGGGAACACCCAGCGTGGTTAACTCTACACACTGAACTCCAGCCCTCTGCACAGAGATAAGAGCAACTGTCATCACCAACGCAGACACGTTAACACACATTCATACGTACAGTATCTGTTACCCCCTGTTGAGTGCCTTCATAACGTAGATAGATGGATGGATAGATAGATAGATAGATAGATAGATAGATAGATAGATAGATAGACAGTACTATCTACAGTACTAGACAGTACTGTCAGTACTTCTTTATTCGAGCCCCCACATTATGGACTTTGTTCCCCCACTGAACTTAGACTTATTTTCTAGCTTATTTTAAATTCTGTTTAATCATAGAACTCCAGCCTATTTCTTTTATATATCAATTTTAGCTAAAGTATTAATGGTATCGAATATATTTGCAATTTTACATTACAATTGATGAAACTTATGTTGCAGATTATTTTGTGAAATATTGCACATTTTACTGTTTGTCATATGTGTTTTCTTGTTGTCCTGAAATGTTTTGTTGATTTTCTAATGTCGTGTAGCTTTTCCATTTCGTCCACTATCAACAGGCTGAAAATATAAATATTGAAAATTATATTTAATCTTAAACAGATCGTTTAAAGATTGACGTCATTATGTGATGTAAGGTTATAGATCTTACAGATCTGTAAGTGAACAATAGAGGTGAGTCTCCACAGAGCAGCAGCCTGGAGGCAGCTCCCTGTGTTTCACCAGGAAGAGAAGCAGCACAGCGGCCAGGACGCACAGCCCCAGTCTGCTGTGGACGAACATGAGCCGCCCCACGTCGTCACACTGAAGTTATGACTTGAATATGGCCGATAAGGGGCCGTTTTTAACCTCATGTATTATTTTCTACCTGTCGATCGGGGCCGCAATATTCCAGATTCTCGAAGAACCAAACTGGATATCGGCCAAAGACAGATATATCCTGCAGAAAGAAGACGTTCTAAAGAAGTATACCTGCTTGACTAAAGAAGCTCTGGATGAGATTTTGGAGGTATGGACTCATCAGTTTTCAGTTCATGACACAGAAGAATAGAGTTTCTCATTCATCTTAAGGGAAGTTAAAATAAACCTAGTTTTTGTAACTTTACGCACGATTGACCAACAAACAGAGGAGCTCCTATAAACTGTCAAGAAGTTAAAAGTAATCAAGTAAAACCAAAGTGCAGATAGTACGATACTGTGTTTCAGTGACCATTGTCAACTTGAGCCTTCACACACATTGTGTAAGAGAGGTTTGTCGCCTGTGCGCGTCAGGACACATCAGGACTTGTCTTTCCTGATCACGAACAGAAAACAACCATCAGGCCTGAAGCGGATCAGGTGACAACACAGCTCGTAAATCATTCCTCTGTTTCAGTTAGAAATCCCGCATTTCTCAAAAGAAAAGAAATAAAGTTGTATTATTTAATCAAGACCGGACGTGACTGCACAAGTGTCCCTGCCTCAGAAATATTTTAATGTTTGCGCAAGGTGTGTCCAGGTGCAAATGGCTGCACGGTGTATGACTTTGAGCCCAAGTACTAGAGACTGTGGAAGTGAATAGCGTTGTTACAGTCATTTGTGAAATGATTCACTGTGCACTCACCTCAGATCGTGTCGGAGGCTGCAGGTCAAGGTGTGACCATCACTGGCGAGAAACATCGAAACACGTGGGACTGGGTCAACTCGGTCGTTTTCGCTGCCACCATTGTCACCACCATAGGTTTGTATGAGACGTAGGCCATGAAGTGTAGTAGCTTCTATGAATTAAATTCACATCAAATATATGACTAATGTTTACATCAATCATTTGGCTCACACATATCACAAATTCTCATCTCAACATTTTAATTAGGCTGACAATTATTCCTATCCTATTCGAAATTTAGAAATCATTAATCCTGAATGATGAAAGAAGCCTACTGACATCTATGCTTGATTATAATGATAACCAATGTAATATACATATAGGAATAATAATAACTAGCACCAGCAATGCTTCAGTATTATAATATTGACTTACAATATGAATTTATTGCAATCATGCATTTGCAATGGTTGTATAATCTTTTTTTATTTTTACGTTTAACATATCCTTGCTTACAGAGTTTGTGCAAGTTAAGGTTAAATTTTAGAACTTTTTAAGATCACAATGACTGAAATTTAGATGGACACTCAATTCATACCAGAAGTGAAATTACAGTGTTTCAGCAGCAATTAAAAACATAAAAACCCAAGACTCACATGACATATAACCCAGAAAACACAAGCAGAGGTAAATATGTCCAGGACATGTGTGCAGACTTAAAATGCTAGAGCCAGATAAATAAATACATAGAATAAAAAGGAATTGGTATTTGTGCCACTTTCAGGACAGTAAATAGGATAAAATAAGAGCTCTCAATGTGCCACTAAAAGTATGATGGGTAAACAGTGCATTGCAGCTCAAAAGGTGATTCTCCTCTTTCTGCTCAGAGGGGAGTAGTTATAAAGTGTGATTACAGTGCATAAAAACTCCTACGTCATGACCGATGAAGAGATATCAGAGAGTTATTTACACTTCATTGAAGATAAGGTGAACAAAGCTTGACTTACCTGATTATCTTGCAAATTCAGAAAAGGAAGGTATCCATGTCTTTTGCCACAAGCCGAGTGTACTGCAGTAAATTCTGACCGAGCTGTTTGTAGGTTATCAGTTCCATGGTCTTGTTTCTTTTACACTATTCTAATACCTGTTGAGAAAGAACTACAACACACAGAGACAGTACAAACTGCATGGCCAAAACATTCCCTGAAGTAGCATTTTATAAGGGTTGATATAATCAAGACCTAACAAATTTTAAACCTTGCATGTTATGTTTTAATGTATTAAGACTCTTTAAGGATACAAATTCAACATTTTCAAAAACTTCTTATGCACCAGGGGAAACCCTATTTCTTTAAAAAAAAAAGAAAAAAGTCCATATTTCTGTTTGCTGTGATTCAACATTTTCTCTTGTCATCCACAGGTTATGGCAATGTCGCGCCCAAGACTAAAGGTGGTCGTGTGTTCTGCATCCTGTATGGTCTGTGTGGGATCCCCCTATGTCTGGTATGGATAAGCGAGCTGGGTTCGTTCTTTGGAGACAGAGCCAAGCGTCTGTCGCAGGTTCTGATCCGTAAAGGCGTTTCAGTGGTAAGGAATGACAGAAAGATGGAGTTAGTATTTGTTTTAGTGCTGAATAAAGTTGTAATATCACATTTTTACTTTCTTCCTCATGTCAGAAAAAGGTCCAGTTAACCTGTACGGCCTTGTTCCTGTTATGGGGGCTGCTGGTGCACCTGGTGATCCCTCCATTTGTTTTCATGTCTATGGAAGGATGGAGCTACCTGGAAGGCATCTACTTCTCTTTCATCACTCTCACAACGGTTGGTTTTGGAGATTATGTGGCAGGTAGGTTTATTTATGACTCTATTTATCTAATTTCTCTGAGTTTATTCTGTATCTGAACTTCTTTTGTTTCCTTTGTAATGAAAGCAATGCCATTCCATATATCTATTTCCATTGCAGGCGTAAATCCAAACATAGAGTACCCTAGACTGTACAGAACATTTGCAGAGATATGGATCTACATGGGCCTGGCCTGGCTGTCTCTGTTCTTCAGCTGGAACGTCAACATGGTGGTGAAAGCTCACAAGAAGCTAAAGCAAAGACGACACAGGTACCGAAACTTGGATGACGAGGAGCCCCAGCTAGAAGGGGAAAAGCAAAACCCAGGCGTAAAGCGGTCTGTCATCGACATCTTCAACTTCCTGTCTGAGAAGGAGGAGGACTACAGCACCGTCATCAACGATATTGGACTCGGAGCAAAAAGAAGGAACCCTGAAGATAAAGTAAACCGCTCTAAGAGCTGCAGCGACATCTTGGCCATCCAGACTCTGGATCACTCACCGAGTCACAAACACATGATCAGTATCAGTCAGGTGTTCATGGACGCTAAGGTTGATCCTCCACAAGAGAACAACAGAGACAGTGAACCTCCAGAATGTGCCAGGACGTCAGGTAGCGTGGAGAACAAGGACAGTTGTGCATTTGAACCAGAACATGATGGTATCATCTTCACTGTACCTGACAAAGATGCTGCAGAAGAACAAACTGCACAGCAGGCTGGTGGAGGGGAGAGTAGGTTCAAAATATCCAAAGTAAATGAAGATTTGGTTTTGGACAAAGATGAAAAAGGGTAAAACAACACTGTTGTGTATCAAGGCGACAAACTGCATCAGTGCAATTCAAGCCTGGACTGTTTAACAGTCTCCTGCTTTACAACAGCATGATTTCATGCAACTTTTCGATTTTTACCTGCGCACAGTGAGACAGTTTCTTCTTCGAGCAAACACTGAATAAAGATTGTTTTTATTTATTTTTAGATCCCATATCCATCAAGATCTTTCTATACAACATTTCTATTAGCGACCAGAACACTTCAAATCCCAGCACACAGCTTTACAGAGTCAATATGCAACTTTCTCTCATCGGGAACTGCTACAGTGGAGGCAATTATCACACGGTCGTGATCAGCGTACTCCTGATTTGCCATTGGCTGCTCTGAGCATATGTACTTGATCGGGATGACTCAGAGGTAAAAAAAAACAACATAATAAACAATAATGCATCATTTTGAAATGAAGAAAAGTAACCTCAGAGCCAGGTGGATCTTCAGGGTCAGCTACACATTACAGTCTTTGAATTAATTATTTAGGAACCATCAGGTGTAATGCTTAATTTTCAGATTTTCACTATTAGATACATTTTCATTCATTTATTGAGGAGTGATTATTTTGTGAACAGACCCTTTCTTCATTGTTCTATAGATGAAATGCTCCACATTATTAGTCTTCCATTACATCTGTGTTAAAACTTTGTCATGTCAAGAGCTGAAAGAGCCGGGGTGCAGCTTTCCTCAGATATGCATCTCGACTGGCATTTGCTCTGTGTGCAGCAGATCTGAAATGTAAATTTCCCTGCAGTTTCAACACAGGATGAAGGAATCGCACGATCCTTCAACCCCTGATTGGAAAACTCTGCACATGAGAAAATGCTGACCTGTGATTTAGCTTGATGAGATAAATAGAGAGACACTTGGTTCAGAGTTAGGTCAGCTAATCACAACTAATTTTAGACTTACATTCTTATGAAGGAAAAACAATCTTAAAGTACTGTGCTGTTCAGTAAAAGCAATCCAGTAAAATAAAATTATTTCATGATAAACGGCGAAGCACTAATATGAACTTTTTACATATTTTATTTGAAATATACCCACTTATTTCACAATAGGAGATCAGTTCAGTGTATGCAACCATTTTCCAAAATGCTGATGTACCAGCAACCATGAAAAAGTCAGGAAAACGAATTGCATCCATCTTCTTCCCAGGAGAATAAGAAAAACCTGCATTTCCCACATAGGAGCGGTGTGATGTATGTTAATTATCATTCAATCACCATTGTCCGCTCTGATTGTGAGACTTGCCAAGAGGTGAGTCACCCTACTCCAGATCACAGATCAAGGCTTTGTGGAACACAGTGCCAATGAGCAACTTTCCCCCATATGTCGCTGCTACAGACGAACCCATGAGCACATGACCATCGTCTTCATACACCTGAGTCACCACTGGCTGGTCAGAGTCAATCTTCTGGATGCGGATGACCTGCACAAAACAGTCACACGACAGAAAGAATTATAACAAGATGAAAAAATGTAAAACGACTGGTCATCTGTTTAAGTGAAGAGAAAAAAGGGGCAGAAATTAAACACATAAAAACATTTTGTTTTGCAATGTTGGTCATCTCACAATTTGCAAACTGATAAAAGTAAATGGACAAACCTCTGATCCAGGTGGGTTGTTGGGGTCAGACAAGAAAAATTTCCATCCATTAGGGTGACAGCCTAACCACAGGTCGCCTGTTTCTGGGTCAACTTCAATGTTGTCACAGAGAGAACCCAGAGCCACAGACTGGTAACAGGATCAGAATGAGATATTTATCATTAACCTCAAATGACAATTCTTCCACGACCTGACTTTGTATTTGAAATTACCGGCGTTTATGTGTAATTGTCTGGAAACATTGTAAGAGCTTCATCTAAGTTACAATTATGAACAACTAGAATAGTAGTAGAGCGCATAGCTACGCCGAAGCCCAATAGCCCCCTTACATTAAAGGTTCAGTGTCTACAATTTAGTGACATCTAGTGGTGAAGTTGCATGTAGCAGATGAATACCACCTCACAATGCTCCTTCCAGAAATTTAAAAGATGTTTAGTTTGTCTGGTCTGGGCTAAAACATGGTGACCTCCTTAGAGAGGACCCGCTCCCATGTGAATAGAAAGTATTTAAATATAAAGGGACCATTCTAGGGTAAAAACACAACAACAATTAGTACAATTTAGATGATTACAAACTAGTGAAAACATCACTAGGATTATGTTATATTAAATTTCGGCCATTGGATCCCTTTAACCTAAATTACACACTGAACCTTTAATTAATAAACGCTATAAATATCAGTCTTTCAAATATGCAAGATTTTTTCCATCCATGCATAAATGATTCCCTGGGAAATTAATGAAAATGTTTTAAAAAATGGTCTTTCTCGCAAAGAAAACTTCAAGGAAATTTGTCCATTACTTTCGGCGTAACCTTGCAGGGGTGAAAACATGATTGCCTCTACCAACATAAAAACACTTTTGTTTCACTTAATAAATTACAGATTAATTCATAATTCCAGAAGAGCAATATTTAAAAATAATAATACTGACGAAGCCCAATGATCAAGTCTGTAATATTTACCTTCACAGTGACCAGGGAATTGTCTTTTTTTCGCTCCAACACGTGCACATTGTGCTCTAACAGATCTGCCACATATATATGTCTGTAAATTAAAAAAAAAAAAAAGAATACAACAATGAAGAAATCCAACACGTAAAGCATGAATTATCACACACATGACCATGAAGGTCACTCCTACCTATTGTCTGGTGAGATGTTGATTCCGTTTGCCATGGAGTAACCTTCAGAGACGACTTTCACATCTGTGGGACTGTAGTACACAACATTAGACCAAGACAGTCCCAGCAAAGGCTCCACCAAACTTTTCAAGATCTCATGGGAGAAATAGTGGTCATTTGTTGCATAGAAGCTATCCACGCCCACTGCAACAATATCGTTCACACTGGAAAGAAAAAACAGAATTCACACATTATTTAAATGACACGTAATAAGCTCACTACTCAGTAAGTCGGTGCAGTTGACAGTAGGTGTCACTGTACTGTACCTGTGGAGAAGTTCATGCTTTATAGTTTCCACGTGCACAAGGAAGTTGTTGTCCTCAACATATTTGAAGACCTCGACTTGGCTTTGTTGTTGTGGATGATTGACAACAAACAGGTAAATTGTATCATCTGATGAGAAACAAGGAGAACATAAATAACAAAATTCCAGAGGCAAAACCTGCTCATGCATTCTTTGTACACATGAACACAAGTGGCTTAGTTTAGTATTAACACAATGGAAATGTACTGATCGAGCAAATACAAACGCACCCAGGTGTAACAATCTCAGTTATTTCTGTTAGGCCACCAGAACAGGTTTGTCCACATATACCAAGCAGGCACACACAGGCTCATATTCAACAACTCCCTTTACTAGTCAGATGAACTAGACAGCCACAGAAACTGACAATTGAATAGATTTTTCTGTTGTTAGATTAATGGAAATATGTGAAACAGAAATGTCTTTATTTCTGGATCAAATTGAGAGACGAGCATTAAGGTTTTTACCCTTTGGGACAGAACTGTGAGTAAGATATACTGTGTGCTTTTACCTGTTGGATCGATGTATGCACTGATGCCATGAGGGTTAAATGAATCCAGGTCGAAGTTTCTGGGCATGCGCAGCTCAACTGGTTTCATCCAAGAGTCTTGTAGGTTAAGGGAGAAGATCTTTCCTGTCGCCCCTGAGACTGGAAAATGAGGTAACCTCAGACCCTGGAGATATTAGAAATACATGAAATTACACAGATGTCAGACCAATGAAAAGAAATACTGCACAACAAAATAAAAATTACCACTGATCAAGGACAGGTGGTTGGAGACCAACCCCCCGATTTCTAATAATAGCTACAATCATTTATATAGCATCTTTCATACATAAAATGCAACTCAACATTCTATACAAAAGTCAGATAAGTGAATAAATAAAGTAAAATAATAAAATGCATACAAGCATATAGAGGTACACAAAACAATAAATCATGCTAAGATGTTATAAGGGACGGTAGTGTTATTTGCAAGGTGCTGTCATTAAACTCAACACAGAGGCCCAATTTATTTAAAATCAGGAAGGACAGTTTAAAACAATTGCCAAGCAACATAGAAGAGATTAAAAAGAGTAGAATAAAGGAGATTAAAAGAGGTCAAAGATGTGAAAAGGCCAAGATCTGTATATATATTTATAAGAATGACTGGACAAAGCTAAAGCAGGAACAATAAAAAGATACAAGCCTCTGAATAAGTAGCTGCATGTTTTGTAGCTGCAAGTCATGCATGCAGGTCAGGTAGACTAAAAGAGGAAAACACATAAACAAAGGGACCCTAATGGAAAGTGAATATGGTTTTACATGGGATCAAGAAGGGTTTTAACAAACACTGATTCAGCATTTCATAAGATTATTGTGAACACGGTTAGTTTTTCTTGTTGAAAACAAAGTTTGGTCACGTGTTTTATCCGCGGGGCTTTAATTCCTTCAGTTACTTTTTGTGTAACCTCAGATACACTTGGCAGTTCTGCAACTCAAACACCCACAGTGCTGATAAAGGCGAGTCCGTCTCCCAGGATCGTGATGTCCTCCGAGCCAGAATCTGAAAGCAGCGCAGTCGAGCTGTTAACTCTGAGTTTCCACTGGTTCGTTGGGTTTTGAAATCTCTGTACTCACCCAGGTGTTTTAACGCCACACAGTTGGGCAGGTGGTTCTGCAGCGGCTCTCTGGAGGCGAGGGTCTTTTTCCTGCAGAGGTTTGAACACAAGGCTGCGACTGAACTTTCTCTCCACAGGGAACAAACATCGTAAACTCACATTTGTAACTTGTGATTTACCTCAGGTTGAGGATCCTCTCGCCCAACAGCGCCGCTACGGCCGCTACTACAAGTGAGACGCACACGAGCTTTCCCATTTCGAAATTATGAAAAACTCAAATCGACATAAAAAACCCCAGAGTGAACTACAGAGGCCGAGGAGGGACACGTGCCACTAGCGCTGCCTTCATGACGGTGGAACATCTGAGAACCGACGTTTCGTGTCTTCTTCCGGGTTGCCAGGTCCGAGCTGTTCCCGCGGAATTTGGCTTCTTTTAAATATACAGTCTCTGTGATCTCAATCCCAACCTGGCAACCCTAGTTACTGTGATTAAACACACTAACTTCAGTTTCATACAATGACCCTAACCTGACTCATTCAGACACAAATTATACCAACTCTACATACAATAGAAGCTTTTTTTTCATGTGCAATATTACCTCTTGTGCAATATTACTATTCATGTGTCATATTACTATTGATTTGCAATACTATGATATCTGTCTAATATTACCTCTCATGTGCAGTTTTACTATTTATGTGCAATATTACACCCTAATGTGATTTATTACTATTCATGTGCAATATTACTGTTAAATCAAAAAGAACTGCACCCAATACCTTGTCATCCAAAACGTTGAGCGCAGTTTAAAAGAGATTTGTCTGAGAAGGGGCACAAGGACAGAGAGGGCTGGAGGCCTGAGACTGGGGATTGTTGGTAGGACATGCGCCAGCGGCTTACAGTCCCATCACATATTGTCACAATCACCAAGACCAGACCTGATACTCTGGTCCAACACCCTTCATAAAATTGACAGCACCCTGGGAGAATGCTAATGATGTGATTGAGAGGAAAAGGCTGCGGTATGCAGACATGGTATTTGAGGCTGAACAACGTGGCTGGAAAGCAGTAAGTTGCCCTGTAGAGGTTGACTGCAGGGGTTTCATTGCAACATCCACCATCAGGTTGCTGACAGATCTGGGGATCAACGGACAAGCCCTGCACCAGACCATAAAAGAAACAAGCTGCTAGGGACATACACTAAGGTCTGAACAACCTGCAGTGGGCCTGCCTTAGAAGAGCGTGTCTTTAAAAAAACGAAACGCCTACTGACGCTAAGTTACACAACTGAAGACATGTCACTGACATCCACTGGTGGTCACTAGCATCTGCTAACATCAACTGGTAGTTGGTAACTTCATTTGTGTGGAAGACCTTTAAACCTACAAGGGATATTCACCATTCTGTCCTATGTTCTAAAATTCATGGACAATATTACTGTCCATATGCAATGTTACCACTCATTGACAACATTTATAACATGAAAACAGGATGTTTTTTCCCATCATGTTATTTCTACATCAAGTGAATTATTCCACATCACTTATTCCCATTATCGTTACCACTCTCTGCCACTTTTGTTTAATATTTCTGTCTAACTTTTATTTTACTCTCATTTCTGTTTGGCACCAGTTCGGCATTACTCTATAAACACTTGGTATTTTTATTAAATTTTTCTTAGACTTTATATCCTATTGTTTTATTCACTGTGCTCTTACATATTATGATACTGTAATCTTGGATCAAACTGGCACAAGAATGTCCGTCAGGATTAATAGAAATCTTATCTTATGTTATCTCATCTCATAGCTGTGTGTAGCTCGTCAAGGGATTCAAGATTCAAAGGACCTTTAATGTCACTGTACAAGTGCAATGACATTTTGTGCGGAGCAGAGGCCTAACTGGCAACACAGAGTTGAATTAAAACTACAAAATAAATATATACAATTAACAGTAAAAGCTAAGAGTAAGAAAATAAAGTGAGATAAAAAAAAACAACTTCAAAATAGAAAGACAATAATTCAAAATCAAGACAACAGTGCTGAAATACTACAGTGGTAGAGCAGAGTGCAGTAATAGTACTGCAGATGTAATAGTGAGAAATAGTACAGTAAAAGCACTAAAGTCTGTATTTCTTGATGAATGATAAATCCCATTCATGCTAACAGAGCCACTAAACTTTGTGGTGTTTGATTTCTGGTATCCTGTGAATGTAGCATGATTTCGAGTGATTAGGGCAAGTCATATATTCAATAGTCTGCATATTTTGGGATTTGTTGGTTCTAAGTGGTTCTTTATGAATCTGAAAGATGCCCTGAATCACTGAACCATAATTGACATTTTGACCTTCCATTTTACAATATCTAATTGTGAGCCTGAAGGGGTCCTTGGTTTATATGTGCAACAACCATTTTGAGCTGCAATATTTTCAACCATCCCTGAAATATGAACATTTACAGTTTTCCTGAAAAACAATTTACACATTTTCATCTACATACTCTCACACACAATCACATTCATTTTGTTCAAACTGATCAAAATAATAGGGATGTGAATGTACGGACATAGAGCTATGGGATCACCTTTGCTCTGAACACACCATAAATCACCTGGTGAATAAATGATCCAAGATAAACATCTTGAGGGATTAGAGGACTGTGCAGTTGTTTTAAATTCACTCATTAATACTAGTGCAACATAGTCAATGACATGTAGTGCCTGCAGAACCCTGTTTAAATTGTTTATTTTTGAAGTTGTTTTATTGTAGGTGATGACTCCCTCCCAACATAAAACAAAAAGTTACAAAATTGTCTATGTAATCAAAATCATGTGTAAGAGACTTCATAAAAAACAAACATGAACACATACATACACATACAGAAGTGAAAGTAGAATAAAATTGGCAAACTATTGACCCTGTGATATTCAGCATTGGGTGCATGCAACCTGACAGTAACTGTAGAATATCTACAAAAAGTCCAATTAAAGAATGATAGCATCTAACAACTTCAAAACACCAACAACTCCTGCACATTACATCGTGTGCAACCAGCGAGCACTGTTAAGCGGGGGAGGGGGGGCACACCAGATTCCTGACGCTTTGTTTTGTGAAGTCGTGTAAAGGTTCACAGTGTAATACAGCAGGATCCCCATCAAACAGTTTCAAGCAAGACTGTATATTTGGAACATACAAAATAAATTTTATTATCCATTCTCTTCATGTCTACATCTTATTAGAATTTCTAGACAATGGCATTGTCAAAGAACACACCCAAATTAATTCTAATAATCCTGACAGGTGCAACAATACATTTCTGTCAAGTCCAGGTGTCAAAATATAACTGAATGTGAAAAGCAATTTAAATTTTCTTCTTTGTTATTTTCCAACATAAAAAGGAGAGCCATGGCCCTGGGCCGCAGTGAGATCTAGGCAGGACATGGCCATGAGCACACATTAAACACAGGTGGGGGAGTGGCTTCAGGGTTGGGCCCCTGTGGCTGCAGGGACTTGTGTGGCCAGAGTGTTGGGGGCAGAGATGACAGGTGATCCAGCAATGTTAGCCAGTGGCTGTGAGGAGGACATTGAGGTGATGCCTAGAAGAGACAGGAGGCTTGTAAATCATTTGGAAATGCTTGTATTTACATGTCATCACGTTCACAATCAAGAGATAAAACTTAATGTGCAGCCATTCACAATCTACTTATATTTGCAAATTAAACATGACGGAAAAACAACTTCATTCCAAAAGAAAAAGTCTGTGAAAAGGCCATCTGCAAATGTAGATCATTCCTCCTCCTAAGGGCAGTTCATTCCAGGGAGGATTACTCACCGGCCATCATACTTGAAGAGCTGACTGGTGTGGAGCTTGCAGCCATCCCTCCTGGAGTGGCCCCCCTTCCCTGATCTTTAACGATGGGATCTGCAAACACAAGTGGATTTGAGCAACTCGTAAACCAAATTCATGCCTTGACAAGAATCTGGCCACTTTAAATAAAGTGCAAAAATAACATAGGAGAAGCCGAGAACAGCGATCTTACAGAAGTAGGGATGATCCATGGCCTCTCTGGCCGTGAGACGGGCTTGGTGGTCGTAGCGCAGCAGTTTGTCCAAGAAGTCTAAAGCCTCTGTGCTGACCAGGTGCTGGTTCTCGCTGTGCACAAACCTCTCCCACCTTTTGCGGGAGTGTCTGGAGAACAAACCAGGGGCAGAGTTGTATTGTGTGGTGTTCATGAGCCAAAATTGTGCTCAAAATACACAATGATATTGAGGTCATATAGCCAAAGGGTTTTACCTTCCCAGAATGTCATTGAACCGTGGATCCAATTCAATGTTGTACTTGTCGATGTAGTCATACAGGTCCTCTGTGCCAAGTACTTTTGCGATCCGCACCAGCTGAAATTCAGATTTTTTAAAGATACATAGACATTTGTTGAATCCTGGGAGAGGGGATTTGTATGAATAATACATATGTTATGACAATAAAGTTGTTATTGTTGGGGGGGGGGGGTGGAAAATCTGGATTTAGATTTTGTTGAATTAACAATGTATGTGCTTTATTCAATATCTGTCAAGTGTGTTCAGTTTAAGAACGCACATTTCTCTATTATAAAATCTAACAGAACAACTGATTTTCCTGGTGTAAGTGTTCCCTCTATTATCAATGGTTTATACTACTCTGCAAAAGAAATACTATTAAACCATTGTTTGATGATTGTCTTATTTACTTTCATTCTCTGATTACGGCAAACTTTCTTCATTTACAGGCAAAACAGGTTCATTGCAAATTTCTAAAACATATTACAATATTTGTTTGACTATATAAACACCACTTTAACACTAGAGTCACACTGTCCTAGTGGTGGCAGGGAGAGTGGGAGAAAACGTGATAACATCATGTCCACTAGTACAAACACATCTGTCTTTAAATCACTTTGTTCTACATTCAGAGCATTAAAGCGTCAAAAAGATAATGTCTACCCTTGCTCAATGACAGTTTGATGTGAGCTTGAGAAAAACCTTGTTGAAAACATCTATTGTAAGAAGAATGTGGTTTGTGTGTAAAACTTAAAATTATGTACTATTAGGCCTAGACACGGCAAAACTTGAGCCACAAGGTCTGTGACCAGACCCACAGAAGACTGTGTTCTTCATACCTGATCATAGTTGTCATGACCGTGAAAGAAAGGCTCCTTTCTGAAGATCATGCTGGCAAGCATGCAACCCAAACTCCACATGTCCAAGCTGTAGTCATACATCTACAAAAAACATAAAAAGGGTAAATGCTTGAGGTGGCATCATGAATATAAAGGAAATAAAGTAAATAATACAAATCCGACCTTGCATTTTGGCCAACTTTGCCAACTGGCATTTGATATGCAGAATAAAAATATATGAGGCTCACCTGGTAATCTACCAGCAGCTCAGGTCCTTTAAAGTACCTGGATGCCACTCTCACGTTGTATTCTTGGTTTGGGTGGTAGAATTCTGCCAGACCCCAATCAATTAGACGGAGCTGGAAGTTAAAAAGTGAAATATATTTTAGATCATTCACATAATTCACGTTGATATCCTAATTGATATCAAATGGGAAAGATAACATTAAGAAAATGCCTGACGCATTAGATAATACCTTTCTGTGTTCATGATCAATCATTACATTATGTGGCTTGACATCTCTGTGCATTATCCCCATACTGTGGCAGTAATCCAGGGCCTAAATGGTAATCGAGGAAAAATAATGTGTTAGGAGTATTTTCAAATGATAAGTATCTGGCAAATGTTAAAAGAACCAATGAAGGCATAAAACATACAGTTAATATTAAGTATCAAAAGCTGTTTCTTACCTTTAGGATTTCATACATGTAGAACCGTATGTCGAAGTCAGATAGGGTTTGGTACAATTGCTGTAAAAATAAAAATGCATGAGGCATCAGAATTTATATATTTTAATATTCCCAGATGGCAAATCAATAGAACGCTGATCTTTACCTTGAAGTCTGTGTTGTTCACATGTTCAAAGACCAGAGCAGGGGTTCGTGACTAAAATGAGAAAAAACGTGTTAGTACATATATGTATAAATATATTAGTCCAGAATTGTCATGGTGCAATAAGGAGAAGAAATTACCACAGGATCTTTGACAATATCTAACAGTGAGATGATATTTGGGCCACCCCGCAAGTTCTCCAGGATCTTTATTTCTCTCTTGATTTTCTTTTTCTTGACCGGCTGTGAACAGGGAAAGTTTTATGAGGTACATAAAATCGCCAATAAAGCGACAAAACATGAACTTTTTTACAGTTAGAACAGCTGGTTGTGTGATTATCTCCATACCTTCAGTATTTTGACGACCACTTTTTCATTGTTTGTGATGTTTATGGCTTCAAACACTTCACTATATTTGCCTCTCCCCAGTTTTCTGACAAGCTGATAGTCGTCTTGGTTTCTAAAAAGAGGAAGAAAATAACAGTTCATCTTTAGAATATTTCCCTGACAAAGCCAAATAAAACAAATACAGCAAACAATCCAATCAATCTTTGCCTTACCCCCATTCAACAACATGGGACTCGTAGTCCCAGTATTCCCGAGGCCTCTGTGTGTTTACATCAGGGTAAACTCGAGAGCGGCTTGGAACAGGGCCAGACATATTCTACACCAGATCTTCTCTATATCTCCTAAGCAAGAAAACAAACAATGAATTACAAATACAACAAAAAAAAACATGTTACCATTAACTGGGCATCCTTACAGCTACTGTAAGTGCTAAGGTGCAATTATGAATAATTGTATAAGACAACACTATACCTGGGAGGATCCCTCCAGGATTTTGGTGATGATGAATTGGAGCAGGAGTGGTTGAGATGCCTTTATGATAGGAAAGCTGCAGATGCACAACGTTTAAAAAAACAACAGAGACTGTAACACAACTGCCCAACACCATATGAGCAACGGATATCACAGTTGATCTGAATACGAGCCTTTCAAAAGAAAATGCACAGTAACTTACAAAGTAAAACAACAGCATGTGTGTTGAACGAGCACAGACGCAAACACACGAGATAACACAATGAAATGAGTGCTGGTGTGTCTGAATATGGTGGCGTGTGAAATGGAGAAACCTGAATGTTAAATGGGGGCATCCAACCAGTCTAATCAGGAGGTACAGAGTGCAATACAGTCATCACTGGGGGCTACACCAAGGCTGGATCTCCTGTTGGAAACAAAGTAGGTTGATTAAAATCAATGCTGTCAATTAGGCAAACACGAGCAAACTATGTGAGCCATCGTACGCCAGCCCAACACAACTAATCAGGCTGCGGTACATTGCTGTTTGTGAGCGGCGTCCAATCGACACATCGTTTTGTCCGGTTCAACGTTCTCGTTCAGTTCGGCCCGATTTTCCCGCTTATCACTTTCATTAAAAAGCAGAGAGTACGCAGACAACCCCGGTGGCCCCGGGCCTGTTCAAGTGCAGTGGGGCTAGCAGCTAGCTATCAGGCTAACCGGGCAGCTGGCTGGCTAGCTAGCTAGCTAGATGGCTAGTTAGCGTTAGCTCGTCAACAGCAGAGGGAAAAGCCGGTCGGAAAGTCACAACTAGCTCCCGGCTACAATGTGGGCCCGTGGCGGAAAGAGATCCAACTTCCAGTTAGAAAAATAGTCAAACCGTCATTCTGGCGGTCGAAACGGACGCGGAGCTAAGCAACAAGCTTCGAGAATTATATTTCACAAAGCTACAAAGTGCTAAGCTAACAGGCTAGAGGAGTGAATAGCCTGCTGGCTGGCGAGGCAACTGGCTGACAACGCCTTGAAAAAACATCCTGCAAACACCGTGTTCGAGCGAAGGACCGGCGCCGCGACGTGTGGGGCTCGTTCCCAGCTCTGCCCGACACGTAATTCAGTGAACCGAGGCTTCGAACCTGCGATGATTTGCCGTTAAAAAACACGATTACCTCTCGGCGGCTGTTGGGACGTCAATATGGCGATGCTTGGGATCAAGAGCTTAGTGTGAACAGCCTCTCCCGCAGGGGGCGCTCTGCTTTTTCCTTTTTCGTACAGGGGGGAGACTGGGGCCCCCTCTGCCACCAACAGGTCTGATCGAGACAGGAACTCCAGTCTGCGGACACACAGCACATGTGCAGCCGCACATCTGTTCAGTGACTTATCTGTTAATGAACCTCCAATCAAACTTTCTTTGTATAGCCTATATTCACACATCACAAGTTGTCTCATGGGGCTCAACGCTGCGACATCTTCTGCTGAGGAAAGACCACCAAAAACCTTATCAGGAGAAAGGAAAAACAAACCTCAGAGAGAGCCACGTGTGAGAAGATGCTGTAGAGCACATCAACAACATAACAATAATTACTACATTCATGAGAAAAGACAGCAAACATAAAATACATAAACTGAGAGGTGAATCAGAGTATTAATAACAGAGTTACCAAACAAAAAAGTGCATACAAGAAAGATAACAATCGTCAGGATGCAACGTAACAAGAAAGCCACACGACAATGGTGAGGTGGCCAAAAAAAAGTAGTGTTCAATTTACATTCAAGAAATAAAAATAGGTTCTAAGAAGTGATTTAAAAGAAGTCACCATGAGCTGTATCCTCTCAGGTACGCCGTTCCAAAGCCGAGGAACCCTGATGGCGAAAGTTCCGTCACCTTTAGTTTTCAGCCTGGACTTTGAAACAGCCAGCAGGGCTCCACCTGAGGATCTAATGGGTCGGCTTGGGGCCAGACCCTGGCCTGCTTTGAAAGAGTTCAGTAAAATCTTCATCAATTCTGAAACGGACAGGGAGCCGATGTAGAGAAACAAGGGTCGGGATGATGGGATATCGTCTGTTTAAACCAGTCAGAATAATGAGAGTATATGTTAGAAGGCACATTGAATATCTGAGCATTCCAGTTGTAATAATAACTCATGATCCGCTGCATCAATCCCCCACCAATCCCTATCATGATCAAACCACCAGCAGGCCACCACAGACTCAGAAGCCATAAAATGATGTAGGCCTACATACTTTTAATTTAATAGTAGTTGTCCCGTGCATATTAACAGGAAGCCTTTAACATTCATTCTGTGATTCTGCTCACATATAAAAACAGTTCTCAAACCTCACACTGCACGAGCCTGCATTTCAAATTGTTGTACTCTTCATTTCAGGATATTTCTACCACACTGGAGTCATTTCTATACACTGATGTCCAGCTGGGCCTGTGTGTTTTTTTTTTAAAAGCTCTTTGTTCAGACAATATATTGAGCTAACACCAGCTAAATGGACAATAGTGAAACAGTGACAGAAAACAATGCACAGCCTATGGCATCTTTTTAAACGGCTACCTCAGTCATGCAAAAAGCCACGGGGCATTTTCCTGAAGTAACCAATCACCTATAATCAGCACAAAATACACAGACACACTAATTCTTTTTTTTTTTTGTATGTATGCTGAGAACATTTTGTTTCTCAGATTATGAATAGACCTTTGTAAACTAATCAGGAGCCGCAACCTAATTATTGCTTCTCTGCTTGCGAGTCGCACACTGTTAAACACAGACAAATCTCAGCTTTAAACATTGGGTCTGAATCTATAATTAACCAGGACGAGAACTATTAAAGGGTAAAAAGCAAGATATTGTGACAGTATTTAAAAGCTGAAGAACGCTGCTGCTGCCAAACAGCACGATACAGCCGGAGACTGCAGTCAACAATGAAGCTGTGAGTATTGATATTGTGCACTGTAGATGATTGTCTTTTTAATCACTCGCTACATTAAAGGTCCAGTGTGTAAGATTTAGGTGAAAGGGAACTATTGGCAGAAAGTTAATGTAAATAATCCTCATGATGTTTTCGTTCATTCCATCTAATGAATTGTAGTTTTCTTTACCCCAGAAAAAGCCCTTTATATTCAAAAACTTTATATTTACATCGAGGGGACCCTCTCTACGGAGGCCGCCATGTTGGACAAACTAAACACCTTTTGAGTTTTTATGACAATTAAGTGCTACCACAGGTTCTTTTTCATGTTTGGAAGGAGAGAGTGAGGTGAGGGGTGTTCAGATTCTACACACTGTACCTTTAAAATGTTTTTATCTCTGAAAGCTGCAAATATAGAACTCTATAATGCCATACACTTGATATATACACATGCATCTCTCATCTAAACTTTGAAGTAATTGTGATTCTTTCATTCGTTTCAGCTTCATTCATTGCCTCCTTCTTCTGCCATTTGCAACTATGGTGTTAGCAGCTCCAATCAGAGGTAAACACATCTGAAGAAAGAAAAATAATCTAATACTGTTGTTTTGAGCTCACTCAGCTTTTGTATTAAAAGTATATTTATTAATATATATATTATACACATGTACTGAGATGTATTGTTTTGAAACAGCAACTTAATATCAGATAGTGAAAACCCATTTCATCAGATCCTGAAAATACTTTTTGTTCCTCTAGAACAGAAACAGGAGACTCAAAGCCCAGGTTACAAACGGAAACTGATACAGTACATGTCATTTCTTTATATAACTTAATATTCAGGGTGTATCTGATTGTGACTGTTTAAAACTACAGAAACAGTTCTCACCACATATTTTCTCCTGTCTAGTACAGAGAAACCCTCCAAGTAAACCTTTGAAAGAGAGAGACTCTAGAGGTACATGCTCATACTTCTCTAGAACTGCACAGTAATTTGTTATATATAAATTCATTAATAACCAGAGCTTTGGGCAGTCATTAAAGTTAGTAATACACAGGCCACACATTAAGATATAAAACAGTTGTGGATGCATGTCTTTGTCATTAGTATGATTTCCTTTTCATTCACAGATACGTCAAATGCACAATCCACAGAGAGTTTGGACACGAATGGATTTACAGGTGTGTGGTTTTTGTTTCATGTATAAATGTAAAAAATGTATCTAATATTACACAATTGCACTTTTCTTTTATATTACAGGAGTATCTGGTAACAATGGAGGTGGAGGCACAGGTGCAGTATCTTAAATCTGAGCTTCAGGTTGTAGTGATGATAATGTCTGATACAGTGCAGACAACATATTGGTGCAGCTGTTAAATACATTTCACTCTGCCCACATACAGTCATAGACCTCAGGAGCCATGAGATCATAATCCCCAAAGCTGTGAGAGATGAAAACACACCGTCACCAAGGAGAACAGGAGCAGACAAAGACAAGATGGACTTGGTGGATATGAGCAGAAGACTGGATCCAGACCAGGCAGGCAGAGAGCGGAGTGATCTTCACAGAGAGGAGGCAACGACAGTGGATACTCAGCATGGAAAACAAGTTAACCACTTGAGTGGAGGCCAAGTGAGCGACGGTGCTCATCTCCAAAGAAGAGGAGCAAGAGTTAATGGGTCTAATGGTACACTGACCCCAGGCCAAAACAGAGAACTGCAAGACCGGAACAGTTGGGAGCAGAACAATGGCAGAGTGGCTACAGTGGGAAACAGTAGATATACAGACTATGATGGTAAGACCAGTTTCTACATCACAAAATATATATAAATATATGCAAAGAGTAATCAAACACTGAACAACTGATCTTAATATTTCCATAGAAACCAGGGAATACATCAGCTCTGAAATGTACCCATTAGGTAAGAACAGGTTTTATGTCTCAATACTGTAAATGCATTGTTTGATTGATGATGCAGATGGTGTTTGACTCCCTGAAAGATTTCACCGACTCTCTCTCTCATACATGATTTAACAGGCGCAGAACAAATACCCAGTCACTTGTCTGTTCCAGCCAAGATCTGAGCGTCCCACTGATCATGTGAAGGTCAGTATTTTCTGTTTGAATCATGTTTTCTGCTTATATTTCTATCCATCCAGCCCAATTAACACAACATTTTATATTCTTTATGTTTCATCTTCATCTAATTACAAGTTGGAATAATATCCCAGATCTTGTTTTGTTATTCAACAGTTGTGCGTGTTGTTCTGAATAACAATTGTTTTTCCTGTCTTTCTTTCAGATTCTGCTTCTTCCCCATCATGAGTCAGGGGCAGCCATCTGTTGACTCACAGGGGCCAGACAGGATTCTTCCACATACAGTCACTTCTGGGACTTTTTGATCCAAATTTAGGTTTTTACATGTTTTGTTTTGTTTTGTTGACTTGCCCAGAAATATAAGAAAGAAAGAGGTTTTAACAATTTTGGAAACTGGCCATCTAACTGAGGCTTGAATTATTTTTTATTTTATCTCTGTATCTCCATAAGTCTTTGTATAGGTTCTGCAATGTGAGAATGTGTAACTAACCCTCGAAAATATAAAAAGAAAGATGGTAATTCATTTCCAATTCCTTGGTTTTAAGTGTTTAATATATAATTTCTTAAATACAAATACATATTTTGACACGTTTTAATATTTACAAAAAAAGAGAATGTAATACAGTGAACAACACATGAAACACAACACAATCATCAATGAATATATATGAATCCATTTCATTCAAAATAATATATATATTCTGTTATTACCTATAATGCTGCAGAAGTGTAGGTAGGTCAAGATTTGTTCGAGCGAGTGTGTAGTATATTGTGCTCATAGCTTTTGAAAATAGTTACAGACTTTGTTGGGAGTTTTTTCTCCTCAGTTTCATTTCCTAAAGTGCTGAAGCTCACTGTACACATCTGACTGGACTCCATGTAACTCCTACAAAACAGTAAAAGCATTTCATCATGGAAAAACTAAAAATGCATCTTAAAATGTTAAACAGTAGAACTTTCACGTTAAGTGTCTATAATCGTAATTCCGTTTTACCTGGTAGGGAGATTCTGTGACCTCTGCTGCCATTTTCTTTGATGCAGATGACGGCAGGTTTCTTCTACCTGTTAAAAATATTCACCTGTCAGTTCATGTCCCATCTGACGTATCACCTCCACCAAACCAACATCTAGTGCTCACCATCAGGAGAATCCCACTCTCTCCTCCTCTTGTGATAAATCGCGAAGCAGAACACGGAAACAGCAATGAAGATGGTTAAGATAATGTCAGAGGCAATAATGGCCACCACAGACCCCATGTTTATCAGGTAACAGGACTCACATCCTGGCAAAGAATCAAAACATAAATGGTTAAAACACAAAATCCAAAATGCAGCTTCCTAGAGGAGGCAAATGTTTGCAAAAGCTCAATACCTTGTTGTCCTTCTGCAGAACCTGAAAGACAAAGAGTTGGTAAAACCTCATATCATTTATTGAGAGAGTGTCTATTTTTCTTTATCAATCATTAAAACACAAATAAACACCACTCACCAAACAATGAACCCACAATACAGACAGCTTCAAACATCTTTATGTTGGTTTCTACTGAAGGAGGAAAGGAAAGAGTTAGAGGCTGATGGTCCTCCTGATCCGTCTCTGATGGCTGTGCCAGAGGAGCGGGTGCTCACGGATGAAGAACAGTCCACAGGCTGTACTGTCTGCAGAGTGCGGGTCTGTCAGCATGTGACTGTGTTCAGAGGAGGAGGCGGCGTCCACCCAGAGAAGAGGAAGCTTGACATTTGGTGTCTTCTGTACCACTCTCGTGTCAGGGTTTCTGGTTACATACAAACATAAATACAGGATTGAAGTTTGATGTGAAGGATTTTCAGGGCTTCTTTTTTTGAACTTTTTGAACAGCATTAGAGATGCTAAGATAAGGAGCTCATCTTCAGACCATCTGCAGTTTCAGCTGAAACATGTGATCGGATCTCCAGATCGAGCATTTCCTCATGGCCTGTGGTTTCAGTGCAGGTGGGTCAGCCATACTGACTGCTACTGCTTGTCTGAGCCAATGCTAAACCACAGGTTTATCAGTAATGATGCTTGACTTTCAGTGAAATGAAAGCAATGCTGAATTTCCCCAATAATAAGAATCAGTTATGGTTTATAATGT